TCACACCAAGCAACCTAAAATGAGACATCCAAAGCATGTCCCTGTCAGGCACAAAACAGGCTGGTTTATCACTTTTCAGACCAGAGATGCCTGATGCGGCCTACCATCTCTGTCTTTAAAAATGATTCACATAAACCTCTGTATTCACCTTACAGCCCACCCTCACTTTGCCCAAGTGGCCCAGTAACCCACACCAGTAATGGCACAGATTCCTAGATACTTTGTGATAAGGAGGTCCACGGAATGGAATCCGAACACTCAGACACATTCACCTTCGGCTAAAGACATCAACCTACACTGACAGACAGTCCTAGTGACATCAGGACCTGTGGAATGCATGACGGCTAGGACACAGAGCAGATGTGATCAAATGTTCTAGTGGAAGGTTGGGGGATCGTGGTGATTAGATCTTCTAAAAATGGGAGGACAAGTATTTCATCTTCGGGAAGACTTGCAAGTGTGAAGACTTTAACATCTGCCCCCTAGAAAATAAAACCAATGCATGAAGCTAGGTACTTATGAATGAAATCATAACTCTAAGTTTTCTATTGCTGTCACTAGTAGCATCTCTTCTAAAAACATAATCAAAATCAGGCATCAATGATTCAAGATCTTAAAACAAAAAAAGAAATACAGAAAGATTGTACTCAAAACCAAAGTACTCGTTTATAGCCCTAAACAGTTTTTTTTAAAACAAAATAGAATATAACTACATGCCACAAACACCGAAGCCCTGTCAACAATGACTAAAGCTGTCAGAGATGATGTAGAACTCATGAGTTGAATAGTTTTTAATTACTGAAATGTAAAATGCAGTTTTGCTTGCAAAATAAGTTTCTAAACTACGTTTGTCTTTGTACCTTGGTTAACTCTTGCTTTGGTTACAAAAAAAAGGGGGGGAACGCAACCCTAAGATATATTTCTACACAAATATCCTTTGACTCCTATGCAAATGATCTGGTGTCCTTTGGTAGTAGGACAGAAAGAACCGACCATTCTACATGCATTTGGAACCCACATGCAGGTAAATTGGGCGCCAGAACTCCAGATCCTTCAGCACCCATTACAGATTGGAAAACATACTAGGAAAAATCTGGCTCAACTGTTCAATCTCATAGGAGATTCTCCAAAAGCAAAATTAACTGACGAAGTGCTTCTCTGCAGATTCTATGATGACATTCTTTTAACTAGTGATGACAGCCCATAAGACACTAAAATTAGCAGACTGTCTATTTACTTCAGAGCAAAACAGGCAATTTTTCCTTCCTGCCAGAGACGATGCGTCTCCTCATTTCCCCAGCAGCTGGCTGGAAGGATGTAAAATCAGAGGTGCAAGAAGGCTTATACTTCCTAATGAGTAATCCGCCCAGGAAAGTAAACAACGCTCCAAAGGAGACTGTGGCAGAGATGCTTACACAGTTGTTTACGACGTGCACGAACTACCGCAGGCAGGGATCACAAGCAGACACAGGCAGGAGACACCGGGAGGTGGCTCGCACGCCTCGAGTTCCTCCAACTGCTGCGATATCTCTGGCCATAAATAAAAGCCGTGCATGTTTCTATCGGAGCGAGGCAAGTGGCCAGAGAATTCCAGGGACCTGGGATTATGCTGGCTTGACTTGATTATTTCAATCTGCTGGAGAGAGGACTACTCTGAGGTCCTCCTCGGGTCCAATTGGGAGTGCGTGGAGCGCTGCACCAGCGACTCTGCACGCGCTGCACACACAGAGCCGAGCTGCGCCTCTCGGCGGGAGAGGGGACACAGTGAGGCTTCCTCAGAATCACACGAGGCCCCCGAGGCCTCCTCAAACCAGATTTTCCAGTTAAGCGGATCCCAGGCGATTTCGATAAGCAAGCTCAGCTCAAGTAGCATCAGCTCTCCCATCCCCGCAGGTATCTCCCTGCCATCCTCCCGGCGCAGGAACGCGCACACAGACACGCACCCGCCATCTACTAACCCTGGTAGCGGGGTCGCCCCACCGCTACACACACACACACACACACAAACACACACACGCCGTACCTATACAGCTGGGGCCTGGCACGCTAAACCTTGGAGCTCCGACGTGGGACCGGCGGCTGGGTCGCAGCGACACCGACGCTGCGCTGCAGCCCCGAGCCCTCCCTTCTCCCGAGAGAAGCGTCGGGGTGCCTGCCCTCCTACCTGTAACCCGCCGACCGTGGTCACCAACGCTCTGCCCACTCCACCCTGGCACCGTGGCCGCCCAGATTCGTGCAACACCGCCCCCCGCCCAGTGCCCACTACCGCTACCAGCACAGCCCAGCCCCGGGCCACCCACGAGAGTGGCAGCTTTCTTCTGCCAAAACCGCCTAACAAAGCCTGGGCACGCAGGTCTAAACCAAACTGCCGTGAAGGGGACACAACAAGCAGGGTGCGGAGTGGTAGCGCGGCGCCACCAGTCAGGGGCGCGACCTGGGCAACCGCGGCCACCTTGGATGCTCCAGGCAGGCGTCAGGGGACGACCGCGCCGGGCTGGCCACCCCGCATTCCCCATCACCCCGCAGCTCAGTCCTCACCCAGTCCAGGTCCGTCCTCCAGCCCGCTCCCGCCTCCAGCGGCACCAGCTCCGGCCGGCGGAGAACACGCGCCCCCTGGTCTAATTCCTGCCCCCACCAGGGGATGGCACTGGGGTGAGAGAGGAGGGAAAATTCCCAGGGTGGAAACCGTTCCTATTCCCCAGCGTATGCGCCTGCGAACGCGCCCAGAGCTCTCCCCTTCCTCCCCCTCGGCCGCCAAATCGCCCAGTGGCAGGGGAAAACTCCCCCCTCCCCCCCCCTCGGCCGCCAAATCGCCCAGTGGCAGGAAAAACCTCGAACCCGTGCCAAGCCCGAGCGCCCACTAGCCAGGAGGCTGCCTTCCCGCCCCGCATCACGACCGGATGAGTGTGTGTGTGAGGGCGAGAGTGTGTGCGTGGCAGGGTGCGTGTGCCTGAACCCCGCACTCGCTCGGCTGCTCGCCCGGCGGAGGGGCGACCGCGCGCAGGAGTGCGAAGAATAAATTACCTTACGCACCGCGATCGTCCCATCAGTTGCTCAACAACCTGCCGCCGGGTGGAGTTGCCACAATCCAGCCATTGAGCTCGGGGCACACGACCGGCCGGCCCCAGCGAAGACACCTCCAGCACACGGGGCCAAGAACGAGCGAGCGCAGGGAAGCAGCGGGAGGGTGGAGACCCCAGGCAAGGAAACCACAACAAAAAGTCTCTCTTCCCTTTCTTCTGCTACACAGCCATGGAGAGAGGGGCAGGGGGGAAGGAGCCAACGCTGGTCTCGCTTTACGTTTCCTCGCTTCGCACACCCCAAGGGGGCAAAAGCGGAGCGGAGAGGAAGCAGGGTTCAGACGCCTCTCCCGGTCCACAGTTGCACAACTTCGGAGTCAGGCTCTGTCTCCGCCAGCAGCCGAGGGACCCCGGCGG